AAATAGTATTTTATGTTGGAACGGAACTAAGAGTATTTTATTATTAAACTAGTTCTGCGATGCTCTAATAGGTCGTAGAGTGGAGAATTTATTGTCTATCTTGTTGTCTCCAAAAAAAAAAGTTGGAGGATTTATGATAGTTTGCTTATGACATCACACCATTTAATTAGTGATATAATTAATGTCGATAGATCGATGATCATAATCATTTGTGTAACAGTCCAACTTCATCACTAGTAGATATTGTCACTTTAGCTCATTATGTATCGTCGTTAGTTTTATTGTTTTAAAATGTGTCTTGTTATGCAACGAACAATGTCTGCTAGCGGTAGGCTTGAGCTGTTACAAATGCTATCAGAGCCAAAGACTGAGCGGTGTGCCAAGAAGGACGCTCGGCCCTCAAGTGTGGTGGATTGTGAGATCGTACATCGATTGGAGAGGAGAACGAAGCAATCATTGTAAGGGTGTAGTTGCTTCTCCCTATTAGACGCGTTTTAAAAGCGTAAGGTTGATAGCGATAGGTAACGAGCCAAAACGAAATTTATAATCTCCAATTCTTAAAGTGGTTGAACTCGAAACAAAATTGCACGTTCTAGTTCTAGCAAAACGTTTAGACGGCGCAAAAACCCACAAGTTTAGACCTAATTGCAAGTGACCAACATATATTATTACCCGAGATTAAAATATAGACTTGTTATCTTTCCCGAGAAGAAAACGGGACGGATTATTGATGTTTGAAGATCTAAGAATGGGGTATGGTAGTAGTTGGATTGAACACCAAAGTTTTTCAGCCATACCAAACATTATTCATAACTCATTTTGGGTCCCCATTGAGTTATATATCAATCTTTTTAATGTCATTCATACGTTACCTTCTAACCTTCCTTCTACACCCTTAATATTTTTGTGGTGCTCGACTCGAGATGACACCGTGGTAGGGCGCAGTGCTAGGGTGGAAGTAAAGAGACGTCGTCGTCCTCGTCTTCATTGTCCGGTTAATAGCCATCGTCTCTGTCGAGAATTTTACATTACATTTCATTTTTCATAGAACAAATAAAATCTTTTTTCTCCCTCCCCATTCCCGACCCAACTTCAAAGTTGAAAAAACGAGCTAACCCTACGAACTTAAAATCAAATTATAGGACCCTCCCTAGTTTTTTTTTTTAATATATAAAACTTCATAGAATTAATTATTATGAAATTATTTTTTAATTTCTCAATTGAAATTTAATTTGGATCATAAAATGAAATAAATATATGTTTTTTTTTTAAATTAAAAAATTATGTTATTTTTAATTTTTAGTGACCGTTCATTATATCTGGGAATTTGCAGTTTTATATAGCTCTAGTTGAAACCATCCCTCCATGTGTTTTTATGTGGTCGTGGTAGCGTGACATCTCGGGTCAACTTTGTACCGTCTTAATCATTCTCGCGAAAATAATAATACCCTTTTTTGAACTTAATGTTATAGGGTCATTTTGTCGAGCCTATTTTATTTTCAACATTTTCAAATATATCATTGCTAGTCGACACAAAATACGACAAAAGAGAATAATCAAAGTACAAAAATCATTCGAGATAACTAATTTTAGCAAAAAAAAATCCACAATATATAGAGAAAAAAAATTAATTTATACCCATAAACTGAGCACGGTATCCGTTAAAATTGTATCAATTTAAACATGAAATTTTTGTAAGTCTCATTCAGATTTTATTTGAAAAATATTGTGTGAGATATATAATTATTTCAATTAATTTCGTAAATTTTATGGGATAAACTTTTTTTAAGTAAAAAAAAAAAAATTAAAAAAGAAAAAGAAAAAGAAAAAATGAGTAATAAAGATTATAATGTAAGCTTTGCTAATCAAATATAATGACTGGGCCTATGATTGTACAATAATGATAATTTAATATTTTTTTTTATAAAAAAGAATAATGATAATTTAATAATAAAGATTTCTTTTTATGAGTTCAAAATAATAAAGATTTTATCTTTTACTCATTATTCTAGAAGATGCTCAATCCCATTCATCTCTCTAATTATTATTATTATTATTATTTTCTTATATAATTATTGGCTTAGTTATAAAAAATACTCACATTTAAAATATATATTTATTAAAATATTAGACGAAAATAATTGAGATATATAATGATGTGGCAACGTAAAATAAAAGTTAGAACACAAACACTACCACATCTTTCTACGATCTACTTTTCATTTAAAATTTTTGGATAATTTTAAAATATTTATAAAAAGGGTCGAAAGTAATATATTGTTTAAAAAAATTGGGGTATTTATTTAAACGGATGAAATTTTTTTAAGGGTATTTTTGTAATTTAGTCAAACTTCTTTGAAACTTTTTAAAGTTTAAGAGTTTTAGGACAGTTCAGAAACTAATCTCGTAATTTAACATCGTAATAGAGAACAATCCACCTGAACAAGCTCACTTTAGCTGCCCAAACAGCAACAGCTCGAGGTCTGTGTTAATGAAATGGCCAAAAAAGATGACATATTTGTGGTCATCCCATGTGAGAATGAGACCAAATTGTTGTGTTTTTCAGACCAAATTGATCCTTAATTCATTGGGTGTTTTAAGGATTTTATGCAACCCCTTGCCTTTATCTCTTTTTGTTTGTTTTTTTCTTTCGTCCTTTTGTTTCCGTAAAGCTTCTTTCACTCGTTTAGTTATCTTTTCATTTATTATTCTTTCTATATCCTTGTAATTTCTTTGATTATAAATAGATAACTTAAACCCTAACCAAAATAAACTATCCACATCTACCCTTTTCTTTTTGTTACATGATTATTGACATTTATGATAAATCTGAGGTTAAAGTTTAAGTTTCTAACAGATCTATACAATAAAACAATTCCATGAAGTCATGAAGCACGATAGTTGTTGATTTGGATAACGAGTTTTGAAACCTACCCGAGATTTTTAATGGTACTATCTTAAAGAATGTAACATTTCCACGAGGTCGTAGGTTCAAATCTTCACCTGATGGGAGTGTGAAACAGGGTGGGTGTTGATTTCAGTAACGAAATTTTAAATCCCACCCAAGTTTGAGCAAAAACGAAAAACGATCACGCTGATTAGGGAACGGGATAGTCGTTGACATGGATAATACAATTCAAAGTCCATACGAGTTTAACCGATTGTGGAACGGGTCGAATGTTGAGGTGAAGAAGGGGATTGAAGACTGGGGCAAAGCACAATGAATTCCTATATGGTTAGGTACACCAAACCTCTCCCTGATGGCCTGCAAAATTCCTAAGTTCTCCAACTTTTGGATGTGTATTTAATAAGCTCAAAAGGACTAAAGGTTTGAAATGCAGAACCAACACATGCAAGATATTTCATCTTTGCATTGCAGCAGTAGTTTCAGGCCACTTATTTGATCTTAAGATCCAGATGGGACTCAACTGATGATGAAAGGTCAACAACAAAGCTAGCCATAACATGCACCTCAGTTCCCCCTGGTTCTGTCACATGCATTGCCTCCCTCCACAATCAACTAAATGAATCCAAATGGGTTCCGTGTCGTGTCGTGATGTTTTGTTTCTGCTGTAAAATTAAGAAGAGTGGTCATTGATTGTGAGATCCCACGTTGGTTGGAGGGAGAAATGAAACATTTCTTATAAAGGTGTAGAAACCTTTCTCTAGTAGACGTGTTTTAAAACTGTGAGGTTGATGCTGTACGTGACGGGCCAAAGCGAACAATATCTGCTAGTAGTGGGTTTGGGCTGTTACAAATGGTATTAGAGCCAGGCACTGGGTGGTGTGCCAGCAAGGACGATGGCTCCCAAGGGAAGTGGATTGTGAGATCCCACATTGGTTGGAAAGGGGAATGAAACATTCCTTATAAGGGTGTGGAAACCTCTCCCTCGTAGACGCGTTTTAAAACCGTGAGGTTAGTAACGATATGTGACAGACTAAAACGGGCTATTTCAAATGGTATCAGAGTCAGACACCGGGAGATGTGCCACCAAGGATGCTGACCTCCAAAGAGGGTGAACTGTAAGATCTTACATCGATTGGAGAGGGGAATGAAACATTCCTTATAAGGGTGCAGAAACCTCTCCGTAGTAGACGTATTTTAAAATCATGAGACTAACGGCGATATGTACTGATCTAAAATGGACAATATCTATTAGTAGTAAGCTTGAGCTATTATTATTGATCTTCGAACCCATCGATAAACGGAAGGGAATGGGAATGGGAATGGAGAGGAAGTAAAACTCCATTGAATGCAGTAGCTTTCAAGAACGTGTCGCTGTTTGTGTAATAAAGACAGAGAGTGACAAGCTCCATGAAACATGTTGTCAGACATGTGTATGTGATGGTTACCTCTCGGAAAATTGGTCCCTTCCTTTTGGTTAAAAAAAAAAAAAAAAATGGATTCCTACGGCCCTCTGCCTCACTTCCCATACTTTCTTTTTTCTACCTCCCCAAATGGGTTCCCTCTCATCATCTTTCAAACAAATAACATGATCTCTCTGTGTTATCCTCTGCTGCATCAGTCACGACTGTGAAATTCATCTCGCCTCGTTCTAACTACCATTTAAATGGGTTGTCCTCGTTCGTGTGTTAAAATGAAGCAGATGGGAGTATATATCTACAACAGCCCAAACCTATTAATTGCAAATATTGTCCGCTTTGGTCCGTTACGTATCGCATTCCCTCATTGTTTTAGAACACGTCTACTAGGGAGAGATTTCCACACCCTTATAAAAAATGTTTTGTTCCACTCTCCAACCAACGTGGGTCACTCCCCTTGGGGACCTAGCGTCCTCGTTGGCACACCGCCCGTTATGTATCGCCGTCAGCCTTACGATTTTAGAACACATCTACTAGAGAGAGGTTTCCATACCCTTTTGAGACTTCTCTAACTGATGTGGATCTCACAATGTCTCCGTCGTTCTAGATTTCTTGGCAAATTAGGCTTGGATTTCAGACTAGGTCCTCTTATGGAAAAGGAGATAAATGACACATAATATGAAAAGGACTTGAACCATAAGACTCGTCTCTTCTAAAATTATTGTTCATACACAGCTGTGGAGTATAAAAGAATGTCCAGGTAAATACTGTTGGGTTATAATCAACTCTAAGGAAATTTTAATCAAGTAATTCCTCGAAAAGTATGATAATAAAGAACGAAGGCAGGGCGGGTGTGTTTTCCCTACATTTTCCTTCTCTTGGGACTTAGAATGAAGTTGTCGTCGTCGTCGTCACTATCGTTCGTGACCTTTTGCTTTGCTTTTAGATCGCCATTCTTAGAGGGTTGCTGTGGCCTCTGCGAACTCTCTGGTTTGCTCGGCGGTTTTGGTGATTTAATCGGAGTCCCGGATCTCTGTTCCTTTTGTCTTCTTAGTTTCTTCTCGTATGCCTTTTTCGCCTTTTCGGGTGGTAACATGCCGTGCTCCATCATCCTAGAAATTTAGACTGGTTATCCCTTTTGGCTTCTCAATAGAGTAATGCACAGAAACCATAAAAATGTTGAAAAGAGATGCATTCTCAACCCAAGACAATAAGGGTGCTAGCAATCTCGTTTTAACAGAATGAAACGACGAAAAGGATACACGATTCAAATATTTGATACGAGATAACAAAGGGCTACCAATCTCATGTTAATAACGAATATATCAATAAATATAATGGCATGCTTCAAAAATCACAAGACATGAAATATTCAGATATTTTTCACAAGACATGAAAATGATTGTTACTAGCTTTCTTTTTATCTCTAAATTTGAGCATCCTAAATCGGTGTTTAAGTACATAAGACCACTGATTGAATCCTGTTTGTACCAAAAAACACGAAACCTTTGTGTCTATAATTCGTAAACCCACAGCACCTTGCTTTGATCTTAACTATTCAAGAGCTAATTGCTACAGAAGGTCTTATGTCCTGTCTTATACATTATAATTTTGAAATCTTCTTCAAGTGCAAATTCAGCTTTTAGAATTTTTGTAACACTCCAAAGTCTAAGCACAAGCACAAGTCTAAGTGCTTTGGTTTCCCTTTCGAGCTTCCTCTCAAGGTTTTTAAAACACGTCTACTAGGGATAGGTTTCCACATCCTTTAAAGAATGCTTCATTCTCCTCCCCAATCGATGTGGGATCTCACAATCCACCCCCCTTCGGGACTCAGTGTCCTCGTTAGCACTCGTTCCTTTCTCCAATTGATGAGGGACCCCCCACCCAATCCACCCCCTTCGGAGCCCAACGTCCTTGTTGGCACACAAACTCGTGTCCACCCCCCTTCAGGGATCAGTCTCCTCGCTGACACATCGCCCGGTGTCTGGCTTTGATACCATTTGTAACGGCCCAAGCCCACCGCTAACAAATACTGTCCTCTTTGAGTTTTCCCTTTCGGGCTTTCCCTCAAGGTTTTTAAAACGCGTCACCCTAGGGAGAGATTTCCACACCCTTTAAAGAATGCTCCGTTCTCCTCCTGAACCGATGTGGGATCTCACAACTTTTTTAATCCATACTTTCGCATGAAGAACTGCCAAAGTAACACATGAATTTCAAACAAAAAGAAAAAACTTGTTCTCAACTCTCCTAGAAGATCAACTTCATACAACCTTTATTTTAATGTTAACGCTCCTTAATATCAACCAGTAATCCATCAGGAGACACCAATTTTTGGTGCATTGTTCCTAAAAGCCAACAAATCACACCAGACCTTCACTCAGGGAAAGAATTCTCATTCTGGCAAACAAATGACTCAGTCCATGATCCAGCCATTTCTCATGTAACTTAACAATCCTAAAACAAGATAATTGTCTTTGAACAGCAATCTTGTTGGGGGCGGAAAAATATACTCTTCCACCTAAACATAGTTCCTTGAGCTCGTTACAGCTGCCCCGCAATATATCCATTAAAACCAGGAACAGATGATAAAAAAAAGAAGACTTTTGTTTAATTGTTTATTTCGAGATATATGTGGAATTCATTCCTACCCTACGACTCCATGGAGAGACTTCTCCCGCCCAAATGATAGCACATTGAGAGTTTAAAGGTTTTCATTAATTAAGTTCCTTATTGGGTGGTTTGAATCCAAGACCTTTGTTGAGAAATTTCCTCAATCGTCCTAAGCTCTTACCGGCAATACCACCCCTTGAGGTGATAATATGAAAAAATGATTACAACACTAAATAAATAACTTTAACTTCAAGAACAAACATGTTCTATAAGAATAACATGCTCCCCTTTTGGACTTTCTCTTTTGGGCTTCCCCTCAAGTTTTTAAAATGCTATGCTAGGGAGAGGTTTCCACACCTTTACGAAAAATGCTTCGTTCTCCTCCCCAACCGATGAGGGATCTCATAATCCACCCCCCTTCGGGGCCCAATGTCCTTGTTGGTACACCACCTCATGTCCAAACCCCTTTGGGGCTCGGCCTCCTCACTGGCACATCGCCCAGTGTCTGACTCTGAAACCATCTGTAACAGCCTTTCATACCCTTATTAGGAATGTTTCATTCCCCTCTCCAACCGATGTGGGATCTCACACTCTCTACACGTCAGTCACATGTAAATAACTCACATTGCACACTTTATACCTTATCCATAAACTCAAGTTACAAAATGAACAAATTCAGAAAGTAGAAAGAACATAGAAGGATCAAATGCAGGCTATTATACTCAATTCTGATATTCTCCATCATGAATATAAGCATAAGCTTCCAGCGGAAGACATTTGCATAAAGTTGGATTTGTTTTCATATGAAGAGCTAGCAACTTATCCAATCTGTCGTTTCTATCATCAATATTAGATCAGACATGAAAAGTTTCAGTCATAACCCAATGGTTCATCTTGTCTGAGTAACCAAAATACTGAGCAAGTGTCACATGAAAACTGGAATAACCAAAACACAAAGGAAACACTTAGTGGTAAAGTTGTTTGACAGAGCTTATCTGTCCCTAAAAGGCAGCCTCACGTGTACAATTTCGACTGCACTCAGTCCCTACAATTCGAATAGAAAACCTAAAGTAGTAGTAGATTATGTGGATGATAATCATCATCCAACTTCACTGATTGAGACGATCAGTGATTATCATAGGCCTAAAGCTCATGCTCTTGGTAACGATTTATATGGTTCTAATGAACCAACTTCAAATTTCGAAACTATCAGCTAATCAATCGTATCCTATAGCACTAGAAATAATATTCTATGTCGGAGTTCTTATTGCTTTTGCTCTCAAATCACCGATTATACCTTTATATACATGATTACCATATATCTACAGAGAGGCATATTACAGAACTTGTATGCTTCTAGTCGAAATCTTATTAAAAATGGGAGCATATGGATTGGTTCAAATCAATACTATATTCATCGTTTTATAAAGACCTCAAAGAATGCTCAAAAGAATATCAGAAAACAAACCGCACCAAAACTCTGCCATTTCACTTGCTGGTATCTGTTTCGACAAGGACTCGTAAAATATCCGAAGGGGCTCTCTCTGTTCATAGCATACAAAAGAGCAAGAATGATGAGTTCATCAATCATATCAACAACAAAAACCATCAAGTATTAAAGTACAAACCTCTTCAGGGGGATCACATTTCTGACCAGGCAAATTATACACTTTCTTTTCTCTCACTTTAGCAGTAGTAACAGTCGTAGTAGTTTTTGTTGTCGCCCTTGAAGAACTCGAACTTGTCTTTGACTTCACCTTCCATAAACAAATCAATTGAAACCCAAATTCAAAATCAACGATCAGAGAAAAGGAAGGATTCAAAAAAATTCCAAAGCCACCAAGAACAGCAGCCCGCCCAATGAGGTGAATCCCCCAATGAAATACGAAATTACAACATCGGAAGTAACTGAAAGAACCCTCACAAACTCCAAATTTCAATTACCCCAAATCCGTTACTCTTACCGATCTTAGATGCGTTTCAAAACATCAAAACAATTCAGACAAAAAAAGAAAAAACAATTCGCGACAGATTTCCAAAATTAGTACCTCGGATTTAGTGACAACAGAGACGGATTTGTGTTTGGAAGAAGGATTTGAGTTCTTGATGGAGCCGCCATCTTGATTACCAGGTTTTTGCTTCGAAACAGTGGATTTGGGCTCTGAAACCATAATTGGTTTTAGGTTTTAGGATTTTTGCCTATTGATTAGGCTCTATATCAGAAGAAACAACCTTCTCCCTCCCGTCTTCCTTGTTCTTAACACTCCTTCCTTCCCAAGCTGAAGAACTGCTTCAGAATAGGAATAACAAAAATAAAGTTAGGCCAAAACGAAAAGCATCACAATTTCGTCAATTAATATGCTCATGTTTCCTTTTTAACTACAATTTCAGGTCAATTTTACTCACCTCAACAGTCTCGTGGGCTGAGTCGGGTCGGGTTGGGTTGAGTCCGGTCTTCTTCTAATTTATTATTATTATTTTCTTAAATAAGAAAAGTAGAAAAATTAGATAATATTCGAGATAGACTATATATATGGATTGAATTGAGTTAAAGACAGCTTGTCCGGTTCGTAACTCGAATGACCTGAATATGAGTCACGGTTAGGTTTTGTTGTTTTTTTTTTTAATTATTTTTTTAAAAATTATTTATTCACAATATGTGGTACATTATTTTTTAGTTCTAACTTTGTGTGAGTCTAATATTTTTACTTTGTTGTAAGCAAAACGCATTTGATATGCTACATGTTATTATCTTCTCTGTTCTCGTCCTGTGATCAATCTTTGTCCTGCTTATTGTGAGATCCCACATTGGTTGGAGAGGAAAACGAAACATTTCTTATAAGGGTGTAAAAATCTCTCACTAATAGATGTGTTTTAAAATCGTAAGGCTACAGCGATACGTAACGGGCTAAAGTGGACAATATCTGTTAGCAATGGTTTTGAGCGGTTACAGTTGGTATTAGAGCTAGGCACTGAGCGGTGTGCTAGTGAGGATGCTAATCCTGAAGGGGGGTGGATTGTGAGATCCTACCTCGATTGTAGAGAGGAACAAAACATTCTTTATAAGGGTGTGGAAACTTTTCCTTAGTAGACGCGTTTTAAAATCGTGATACTGATAATGAATGTAATGCGCCAAAACAAATTAGCGGTGGTTTTGGGTTGTTACAGTTGGTATTAGAGCTAGGCACCGAGTGGGATCTCACAATCCATAAATTTATTAGCAATTGTTTAGGCACGCTTTATAAGATCTTAACCTTGAGAGAATTTGAGTTCTAGCTTCACGCGGGTCTAATATTTTTACTTTTTGTAAGCAAAATGCATTTGATATGCTACATGTTCTCATTTTCTTTGTTCCCGTCTTGTAATCGATCTTTGTCATGCCTATTGTGAGATTCCATATCGGTTGGAGAGAGGAACGAAACATTTCTTACAAGGGTGTAAAAACCTCTCACTAGTAGACGCGTTTTAAAACCGTGAGGCTACAACAATACGTAATGGGCCAAAGAGGACAATATCTGTTAGCAATGGTTTTGGGCAGTTACAGTTGGTATTAGAGTTAGGCACTGAGCGGTGTGCTAGCAAGGAGACTAACCCTGAAGCGGGGTAGATTGTGAGATCCTACATCGATTACTAACCCTGAAGCGGGGTAGATTGTGAGATCCTACATCGATTGCTAACCCTGAAGTGGGGTAGATTGTGAGATCCTACATCGATTACTAACCCTGAAGCGGGGTAGATTGTGAGATCCTATATCAATTGTAGAGAAGAACAAAATATTCTTTATAAGAATGTGGAAACCTCTCCCTAGTAGAGGCGTGGGTTGTGGAAACCTCTCCCTAGTAGAGGCGTTTTAAAATCGTGAGGCTGATAACGATATGTAACGGGCCAAAACAGGCAATATCTGTTAGTAGTAGTTTTGGGTTGTTACACTTTTAACATAAGCTCTCGTGACTTTACTTTTAGTTTGCCTAAAACAACTCATGCTTATGAAAATGTATTCCTTACGTATAGACCTGTGATCATTCCTTTAATTAGGCAACGTGGGAATGTATTCCTTACTTATAAACCTATGATCATTCATTTAATTAGCCAATATGGCACTCCCTCTCGACAATTATCAACGATCCTCCCCTCGAACAAAGTACATTATAGAGCCTCCCTTGAGACCTATGGAATCTTGGAACAACCTCTTTTCTTAATTGAGGCTCGACTCCTTTATCTAGAGCCCTCAAATATGACTCTGGTACTATATTGACCACGAATCTCTACAATTGTATGATATTGTTCACTTTGAATATAAGCTCTCGTGCATTTGCTTTTGATTTTCTGAAAAGGACTCCTTCCCAATGAAATCTTATAGACATCTTTGGCCATTTGGAGAGGGACATGAGATCTGTGGGTGAAGAAATTTTCATACATGAATCCAACAAGCCCACCACCAATAAGAGCCTTACTCATTAAACCCAATGATCATCAGTCCAGTCTCCCGCCACCAAAGCAGGCCCGAATCATCCCTTTTGAGGTCGTCTAACAGATCGGATTACTGTCATGTGGCCACTAAAAAAGATATCGGGAATTGAGAATATTTGCTAAAACCACTACTCTATTTATGACATCAAATAAAAAACGGGAAAGAACCATAAATGAATACAATATATTTGTTTATAATAAAAGAATAAATATAATATATACATTAAACTATAATTAAGAACTAAATATTCTTAACACCTTTTCGTAATTGCGTCGAATTTGAACAAACAGTGACGGTGATTAAATGAATAGCCCACGTGACTTTTTCTGGATTTTATGAAATACACCAGTTTCTAATTAACAATAACGTCAAATTAATAAAAATAACTTTAAACTACTTCAAGATTATTTTTACATTTTCAAAAATTTGTTAAACTAAAAATAATTTATAAATATTTTATTAACTTTAGATAAAAACCCGTTAATATTTTATTTTTGAAAAGCGTTTTAAATTTTAGAAGCACTCTTAAATTTTTTTAACAAATTCAAAAATAATATGAACAAATACCACATTTAAAAATATAATCATGAATTTTAACACATCATGTTATTACCATTAAATGGTTAGAAAAAAATACAAAATTTAAAGATAATTTATAAAGTGTAGAAGATATTTTTTTCATAAAAAATATACTTAGTAAATTTTAAAAAATAATATTATTATCATTAAATTTTTAGGAAAAAATAAAAAAATTAGAGATAATTTATAAAGTATATAAGACATTTTTTCATTATTGTTTTTAAATAAAATATTAATTATAGATAAACCCTTCAACTTTTAATTGAACAAATTTATTAAAAATAAAATTGAAATATTAATAATTTATTAAATACAAAATTTAAACTTCGGTATAAATATATTCATTGAATATGTCAAATATTTTAGAAGTTCACAAAACTTATTTAATTTTTTAAAAAATAGAGACTTACTATTACCCACTTTTGCCCTATGCTTTACACCTAATGCACGTCATGCAGCCAACCCCACGCCGCGCTGACACGTGTGCAACCAATCCCACGCCACGTGGATTCCAACTTGGTTTGGTTCCGTATCTTTTGGTCCACAATAAAATATTCTTTTTTTCCATGCATGTATCGATTTTTTTATTTTCTTTTAAAAAATTTATCGGATTGTTCAAATCGAGTAAAGCTACACTTAACCATTTTTAATCTAAATTATTCATTCGCAAAAAAAAAAAAACTAAATTAATTTATTTTATTTTTTTAGATTCAACCACTAAATTAAAAATAGTTAAATGACGTAAGAAAATTATATATATATATATATATATATATATATATATATATATATATATATATATATATATAAAACACAGTCATTTAC